TCAGTAAAAAGAGCAAGTCCATGTTTCAGTAAGATAGAAAAGGCAGTTTGGACTTCATCTGGAATGGAAAGAGACCCCAAATAAGCAAAGCACTCTTGAAAAGGAGAAACAAGGTAGACGATATCTCATTCCCTGATCTTAAATTCATGGTGGTCAGGACAGTATAGTACTGGTACAGTGACAAACATATTGGTCAATGGAATAGAACTGGCAACCCAGAAATCAGCCATCTGTCTAGTCTATGGTCAACTGATTTTGACAAGGAGATTAAATCAGTTAAGTGGGGAAATGAAAGCCTTTTTAACAAATGGTGTTGGCAAAATTTCAAAAGTGTATGTAGAAAACTCAAGCAATACCCACACATCACCATACACAAAAACCAACTCAAAGTGAATCAAGGACCCAGGAGTAAAACCAAAAACTATAAACTTCATCAAGGAAAAACTTGGAGGAACTACAGAAGCCCTAATCCCCAATATGAACAATCTTTGAAGCATCCTGAAAAACCTTCAACAAGGAGAGAATAAAATAGATGAATGGGACTTTCTAAAAATCAAATTCTTATGTATATCAAAAAACTCCTCCAACATGGTAAAAAAGAAACTCATAGACTGGGAAAATATATTTGGTAATAACATATGCCTCCGGAAACTCTATGAACAGTGCTCAGGTCTTTCGTTCATAGGGTCGCTATGAGTCATCTACGACTCGACAACACTTATCAACAAGAACAAAAACATAACAATGGCATATCTGAATAAGGGTTTCATATAAAAAAGTTATAGAATACTCCAACACCTCAACAAGAAAAAGCTAAAGAACCCAATCCCAAAATGGGCACAGGATATGACTAGACACTTCCATTTCATCAAAGAAGACATTCAGATGGCAAACAAACACATAAAGAAATGTTCAGAAACCCCAGCTCTCAGAGAGATGCAAATCACAACAACTATGAGATATCATCTTATCCCAGCAACAATAGCAAAGTTCAACAGAGCAGCAAACAACAAATGATGGTGAGGTTGTGCAGAAACTGGAACCCTTATTCACTGCTGGAGGGAGTGTAAAATGGTGCAACCACTAAGGAAGGCAGTATGGCATTTTCTCAAAAAGTTGGAAATAGAAACACCATTTCCACTATTAGGGAGTAGTAGCAGAAACCTAAAGAAACCAGAGTAGCCACCAAAACAGATATTAGTACACTTATCTTTATTGCTGCATTATTAACAAAAGCAAAGAGATGGAAGCAAACAAGTGCCCATCAACAAATGACTGGATAGAAAAATTATGGTATATTGATACAATGGAATATTACACAACACTGAAAAACAAGAAACTCATAAAATATTACACAACATGGGTGTGACCCTGGAGGACAATATGCTGAGTGACATATCTCAGTCACAAAAGAACAAACACCCTGAAACCCACAGCGTCCCCCTTCAGCAGGAAGCAGCCAAGAGAATACGCCACCCCCACCCCCCCTTATGAATCAGGGTGAAGTCTCTCTCAGGGAGGAGTGACAGGGAATGGCAAAGGACACACCGACAAAGGAGACTAATCAGAACTGGCTTTGACAAGCACTGTGGCAATCGGACAATTAAAACAGACTTTCAAGGGGGGAAAATATTGGGATTAAATGAAAAGCTTTAATAAAAATATGCTGAATTATATTCATATTGTTGTTTTTATGTGCTGTGGAGTCACCTGCTACCCATAGAGACCCTATGAACAGCAGCTCTGAAACCTTCCCCGTCCTGAGCCAGTCTCACTGATTTGGACACACCAACCCCTATTAGAAAAAGATCTGTATCTTCGAGTTCTGGTGGCCTACTGGTAAGGAGTTGCCCTGCCAAGTCAAAGGCACACAGTTCAAATCCACCACCTGCTCTGAGGGAGAAACTGGCACCCACCTCCCATGTGATTTACAGCCTCTGAGAGGCTCAGCTATGAATCAATTCTGTCTCTCTGGGACACAACATATGCTGGTAACTCTAAGAAATATCAGTATTCTCCATTATTTTCTATGATTACAAAGACACCAAAAGATTTCTAAAATAGGTAACTTAAGAGAATATAACCGTTTAATACAGTCAAGTGTAGAAAATGCCAAGCGGGACAATCAGAGGGAGGATTGTTCACTCTTTTTAAATTTTTTTAAAAAACAAAACAAAACACAAACCACTGAGGCAACTTTTAGGCTACCACTTCCTCAACTTAATTGATGTGATTCAGATTAAGCTGCATGCAGTCTAATATACTTTGGGTTAAAATCCTTCACGTTTCTACTAGAGACTTCACCCTGATTCATAAGGAGGGGGGGATGGCGTATTCTCTTGGCTGCTTCCTGCTGAAGGGGGACGCTGTGGGTTTCAGGGTGAAGATCTTCTCTCACTACTCTGGGGGGCCCCTTTGGCAGTAGGAAACACATGGACTGTTGTGGGGATTGATTTTGGAATTTAGATGCACTGTTATCAGTTGTGCTTGGCCGTACATGTTCGTATCCTTGAGGATGTATCATGGAGGTGTTGCAGCCTGGAAGACACAAATTTCACTAACAAGTTAAAAGTACATGAGTCAAAAATTAAAAAGCAATAATATTCCAAGTAGAGGCTCTAATAGTGGCACAAATCAAGTTACAGAGGGAAGGTAGTTCTTAAAATAAAAGGCCTATTGACTAGCACTTTGTCTATTATAGTATAAAGGTTAGGAAACAAGATATAGAGGGGGAAAAGAGGAATGAACTGGGGAGGAGGGCAGAGAAAATAGTGCAACAATGAATGAATGGAAACCCCAAATCTCTGTAAATGTTCATTAAAATTAATAAAATTTAATTAAAAAAAAACAAAAGAACAAACACTGCATAACACCACTGTTATAAAACAGGATTGACAAGGGTGTTGGGGGGGAAACTAAGAAAGGAGAGAATAAATGATGAACACTGCATTGGAACAGATGAAGGAAAGAACTGTTTAAAAGGAATATATGATTAGTTATTATGTGTATGACAACTGTCCAGAATAAGAGGTGCATAGCAAAGTGGACTGGAAGAGAGGCAGTAGAAGGAAATTATTCAACAATGAATGATATTTTTTTTTAACGGGGGGGGGTGAGTGAGTAAAATGTGCAACAATCAATGAATGAAAAATTCCACTTCTCTGTATACTTTCGTTAAAATCACAGTAAAGAGAAGGAAAAAACCCCCACAAAGTTGTATTAGAAATTCATGTCAAAAACATTAACTTGGGGGATGAGAAGAGAACACATAGGGACTATAAATCTCCTAGACACTGCAAGCTAGTTTCACTGTCACTTCGAGAAGATGGCTGCCTGCCATGTTTACGGCAGACTACACTCCCTTGGAGCACAGTAGAACTTGTTCCTAATACTTACCTTTATGAGTATTGCACTGAAGGGTAGGAACTATGCTAATTTCTTGGCAAGTCTTCTGATAAAGAGAAAAATAATCTTGATGCTTCAGTAGAAATCCAGATTTTAAGAGGGCAAACTAAGTGTAGCTATTAAGGAGGAATAAGAAACAATGCCTTGGCGAGCTCTGGTGGCCTAGTGCCAAGAAGGTGTACTGCAATCCCAGAGGTGCACGGGTTCAAATCCACCAGATGCTCTGCTGGAGGAGGAACAATCTCCTCCTGTACCAGTCAGATCTGATTTGACAGTATACACACACAAAAGAATAAAACTAAAAAACAAAACAAACAAACAAAAAACCAACAACCACAAAAAACAATGCCTTAAACAACTGAATTCACTGATTCTTTATTTCAGGTAGGTTAGAACTGGTTATGTGTAAAATGATAAATCACTGTCTTTCTGAAATATTCAAGGTCCTACTGCCTACTCTTAGGATGGAAACCCACCCCCCCCACATCTAATGCAGGAGTACGATTTTTAGGGTTTTATTTATTCTATACTCTTTCATAAGGTAGAACTCTTCTGCCTTGGGCTTGGTTGAGTTATGGGGTTTATCTCCTAAGTGAAAAGTTTCATTCTTCAGTTACATCATTAAACTAAGCTCCTTTTAAGATACCTGGTAGAGGAGGAGAAAAAAATCTGTGCTGCACCCCAGGCATCAACTTATCAAATGTAGAAGATGTTCAGAGAGAGAGATTTTATCTTTATAGAAAAATACACACAACCGTACAAAACTAATTTAGCTAAAAGGCAAACTGAACAAAAGTGATTTTACTCTTTGTAACAAAGCAGGATTTGCCTTTAAACAAGATGCCTGACTGGCTTCATAATAGTCCCTGGAACTAGGATATGAGACTAAGTTAAAAAGTCCCTCAGTATTCCATTTTGTAAATATACCATAATTTTTCAATCCTTTCCATTGTGGTTTGGCAGCTGGGTTTTATCCATGTTGGTGAATAATGCTGCTAGGAACACTGGTATACAAGTTTCTCTTTGTACCTCGGTTCTCTTTTTCTCAGGGTATATTCCAAACAGTGGAATAACTGAGTCATGTGAAATTTCTATATTCAGCCTTTTGAGGTAATGTCAAACTACCTTCCTGAGTGGCTGTACCATTTTACAATCCCACCAACAATGTATAAGAGTTCCTATCTTGCTGCCCTGCTAAACTTTGCCACTGCTAATGGAGTAAGATGGTATCTCATTGTGAGCAATGATTCTGTAAATTGCTACCTAACATGGGATGGACTGAGAGCATTACGATAAGTGAACTAATGCAGTCTTATAAAGATAAATACTGTTTAAGACCATTATTGTAGAAAGAGTATGAGGATCCAAGGAGGGGAGAGGAGAGGGCTTAATCATAGGGTCACACAATTAAGATAGGTGCAGGGTAGGGTGGTTAAAGGAAAGGGGAAAGATTCTATGTGAAAAACAATGTATACGAACTTTATGAATTCTGTAAGGAAACCAGTACAAAAAGATGTACATACATTATGAGTAAAATGTGAAAAAAAGGGGAAAAAAGTCCCTCAGGCTAAAAGCCCACCCCAACCAACACCTACCTTCTCAGCATACTCAGAAACAATCTGCTTGATCTCAGCAGAGCACAGGCCCACGATCTGACCCACAGAGCTTGCAGTGAGTTGGCTCTGTAATCACAGGGAGGTGTATTTTCAAGGTCATGACTTTCAAAGAATTGGAAAACTCCAATAATCTGAACTGCATTGAAAAGTAGACAATATTCCAAAGGAAGAGTAATTTAGCCTTTGTTCATATTTTCATCAAAGAAGAGAGAAAATGTCTCAGAACATATATTAACCACATTTCTACCTCTTGACTTAGCTAAATTCTCCTCAGATTCTGGATATTTCAGAAATAGAAAGAGTTTTGAACTCTTTACATCCCATTCCAAGGACTCTTTTAATTAGGGTCATTAAACAGAGCCTGCAGGAGACTTGGTGGGGTAGGACTTAAAAAAGAGAGAAGTCTAAAAAGAAGAGGAAGAGACATCTCAGAAATGCTAAAATATCTACTGACTGCCACAGGTCTCTCCTAATCTGAATAATAATGATTATGTATAGAGTTTTCTATCTAGATGGTGTTGGAAGGCAACAGTATGGGTGTTTCTTCATTACAGTGTAACTTCTAACAGAGCTGCACTCAAACTTAAGAGTCGATCCTGCAATCACACAAGTAACTCACAGTTCCTCTCTCAAAGTTCCATTGACAGCAACATTACACATTCGTAAAACATGTCCTCAAAAAAGTCTTGAGAGTTAGGTGACATCACCACGGGTCTTCCACCTTTGACCACATCCAACTCACCTCCTCAGTTGCCATGGCAGTCATCCTGATCATCAGTGACTGAACACGTTGCTGAAAGGAACAGGAAGAAGCACTGGTGACAGGCAGTGACCACTTAAGAGTTAAGCAGAATACCTAAAAAAAAAAGGTCTGAACAAAGATATTCAAGGGATGTTTTCCTTGACATTGTTTTATAATGTGCCTCATGACAGGTGATGTAAAGATAATGGAACAGGCAAGAAAGGTAAGCTCTAGAAGATGGCTGTTAGATGCAGCAAAATTTCTTCTCAAATGATTTAAAAATAAATATCAGAAGTACTATCTGAGACATATACCTCTTCAGCAGCTTGGAGCTCATCTTCATGTGCTTCAGTTTTTTCTGCTGCTGAGAGTTCTGCAGAAGGTAGCATTTTCTTGTCCTCAGGCTGAAAAAGAAAACCGTGGAACTGGCTGAGCATTGGAGTTGGGAACCTGAGATTCGATCTGACCTACAAATCAAACAGGTTGGACACTAGGGCCCGGTGAACAGTCATCTCCATCTCCAAACTGCATGCTGATTCAATTAGTATCAAGTAATATGTATTACCAGACCTATCCCTTCCATTTTGGGCCTATTCTCAAATATTTGCAATAGCAGATCACTGCCGAAGAGGTGTTTTTGTTCATTGTTTTTCCAAATTGCTGGCTGAGCCAGAGCTGAACTGCTGAAAAGCATTTCAAGGCTGTAATCCTTATGCAAGCAAGTTACCATACCTTTCTCCTCTGAAGAAGCTGATGGGTTCAAACTGCTGACATTTTGGATAACAGCTGAAAAAGCTTAATCTCTTGGAAACCATGACTCCTTCTTAAGGTTCTTTATTAGGAAGTAAATTTAACAGACATTATCAGCATCTAAATAAACAGAATATATCAGAGTACTTTGTAGGAAGAGTTTTGTGAATCTTTAACGGGGATGTGTGTGTTTGAGTGTGTTTATGTGCATGGGTTTATTCAAGATGAAAATAAAAATTCTTACTACTGAGAATGGTAAAAAAACTTAAAAAAAATGGAATTAAAGAATAATCAGTAACTAAGTTCCATACTCTGGGTGCATCCTCACTTAAGAGCCACTGGCTTAACTATTTTTTTTCAAAATAAGCAGCAAGCCTAGCCTTCTTGGTTTAAATTCCACACCTGCTATTCATGTGCTGAAATGATTCTCAGTTTACCTCAGGTCTAAGTGAGAGGATAGCCTCAGAAGTCCTCTAAGCCCCACCAAGTTCTATGGTACTTTTCTATCTCAAGCTCACAGGCAAACATAGGAACACTTTATTCTTAAATGCTGGACATGTTTACAGAAGATAAGGTTTCCAATTCTAATACACACTCCAAAAGAATCATAAATCAGATTTGACCACTTTTTTTATGGGCATCTTGTGATTTTTTTTTTTAGAAGAGAAAGCCTCCGGATGAGATGGATTGATAACTGGGACACTGGGGGTTGGTGTGTCAGAATTAGTGTGACTGGCTCAGGACAGGGCAAGCTTCAGAGCTGCTGTATGTCACTATGGGTCACAGGTGACTTAACGGCACATAACAACAACAGCAGCATACATAAGACTTCATTTAAATTACATGTCATGTTAAATCTACATATTTAAAATACTTATTACTTAGCAGATAGCAAATGACACACTTAAAATATAGAAAATAACCTGTTAAAGGAGGAAATGATTGTTTAGTTGGGTAAAAATACAATATGTGAAAAAATAGGTAACAAGAAAAAAAAAATAATCAGTAACTAATTGTTGATAAGCTAATAATAACTGTGTGAATCATAACAATAAATCTAGAGTAGCTGCACTTATTCAGAACCTAAACAAGAACTAAGAAAAAATTGCTTAAACAGAACAAGAGAACACTGCATAATTTAAAATAAGGAAACACGAATCAGAGTTCTATCCTTTCACTGTATCTCTATTAAATATGTACTTTTAAAAATCATTACTATCACATGCAAGCTAAATAGTGCTGAAAATCATCCAAAAATGGCTAGAACAGTACACTGACAGGAAACTTTCAGTTTAGAAGAGGATGTGGCACCAGGGCTATCATGCTGATGGCAGATGGATCCTGGCTGAAAGTGAAGAATACCAGAATAATGTCTATTAATGCTTTATTAACTATATTAAAGATTTTGACTATGTGGATCATAACAGACTAAAGCTAACATTGCTAGGAATGGGAACTGCAGAATACTTAATTATGCTCAAACAAAACCTATATCTAGATTAAGAAGCTGCTGTTCAATGAAAACAAGGGAACACTGCATGGTTTAAAATTAGGAAAGTTGTACATCATGGTTGTATCCTTTTCCGGCCATGTATTCAATCTGTATGCTAAGCAAATCATTCAAGAAGCTGGACTCTGAAAAATGGGGTATCAATATCAGAGAAGACCCACCACCAACCTGCATTACGCAGATGACATAGCTTTACTTGTGGGAAGTGAGAACTTGAACTGCTTGTCGCAGAAGATCAAGGACCAGACTTCAATATGGATTACATATCAACATCAAGCAAATTTCTGACCACTCCATCAATAGCCAACATTATGAAAGATGGAGAAAAGAGTAAAACTATTAACAACTTACTTAGATCCACAGTCAGGAGATCAGGAGACATACTGCATTGGGCAAGTCTGTATTCAAGGACCTCCCCAAATTACTGAGGAGCAAGTTTGAAGACTACAGTGTGCTTAATTCGACCATGATCTTCCCAATCACATAGTATGAATCTGAGAACTGGACAATACACAAGGATTACAGAAGAACTGCTGCCTTTGAGCTGTGGTGCTGGAGAAGAGTAATGAATATACTGTGGACTGCCAAAGGAACAAAGAGATATGTTCTGAAGAAAGTGTGGCCAGAGTGCCTTTGGAAGAAAAGATGACAAAGCTTTATTTTACATACTTGAGGTATGTTGCTAGGAAAGGCTATTCTTTGGAGAAGCCCATCACAGTTGGAAGGGTGGAGGGTGAGCAAAAGAAAAGAAGACCTTCAGCCAGATAGACTGACACAGTGACTGCTACAATGGGCATGAGCTTGTCAGAGATGATAAGGATGGCACAGGATAGGACAAGGTTCAGATATATTGTTCTATCAGCCATACCTGACTTAAGGGCACCTAAGAGAAACAGCATTCAATGTGTACACTGACCAAATAATTTGAGAAGCTGCACTGCACAAAGTATGTGGCATCAGAATTAAAGGAAGACTCAGGTGTTATAAAGTGAAGAAGATTTAAAAGCCGTTACTGAAAAAAGATCAAACACTTCAGCTTTCAGTATGGATTACATCTCAACATAAAGAAAACATGTATCGCCTCTGTCTCCTCTGCACTAGGAGCTGCTTTCCTGCCACAGCTCCACATTCCCTGAAAATGGATGCCTGCACCAAGTTTGTCTCCATTCCTTCCCTGTCAGGAGCACCTCTTAGCTTATCAAAGCTTATAGTTTCCAGAGGTATGTTGTTTAGGAAGTGGATGTCACTCCTACAATTTAATATTCAAGGAAAAATGTGAGGCAGACACATCAACTGCCTCCATTTTACAAAGGCTGTGAATAAGGCACAATGATTAACTAAACTGTTAAAAGTCACATTTAAAGAGAGGAGATGGGATTTGTAATTAGTGAGTCCAGCTCCAGAAGGCATGCTCTTAGTTATGCCACTGACAAGGATTGAGAAAACATTTACCAAGGAAATAGAAGGAGGTTGCTGGAATCAGGGAAGCTTCCTGGAAGAATGATGAAGGGATGGAAGATCTCAACTTGGTGGCAGGAATACAACAAAAGGAGTAAAGTCCCACTCAAGAAAATAGGGTCTGTGGAGAATAAGGTAGATTCAGGACTCTTATTTTTGAAAGAGGCCACTGGGCAATTCAGTTGCCACATTTTTAGTTAAAGGTAGTGCTGAAAAAAATACAGGCTTTAATGTTAGATTCATACTATGGTGCTTTAAGACCTGTTTGATCTTAGACAAATGACTTAGCTTATCAGAACCTCTATTTCTGACCTGAAAACCAAGTATTTTTCCTCTCAGAGTAGTGAAAAGATACATAAAGATACTTTAACAAAGGTTCTTATATTAAACACTTAAAAATCTTATGATTCTGGTCCCATAAGATTTATGCCTGTCCTGTTACTGACAATAAAGAATCATACATATTAATGTAAATTAATGGTACTCCTTGGTGAAGGTCGAAACATCATTTTTACTCAGTTTTTCATACTGGCACGCCTTTAATTTAGTTATGCATGAGCTCCTTGCTATGTTTTTTCATACTTGTCTAGAGTCTTTCTCATGGCACTGAACTTCACATTCATATTGTTGTTTAGTGATAGACTCCATCTAATTGACTCCAGGGCTACAATTTTCATTTGCAGCTTCTAGACCCACTGTAGGTCCCTGGCAGAGTGGGCTAGAGATGCAAGAGAAAAACATGGTAGTCAAAGACACCTGGAAAATAGTGCTTTCCACTTGTAAAGAGACTGAACCTGTGGGTGGCACCTTTTAATCCACCCTCTTAGTTTCCCAAGGAGCCATCATTTGGCCTCTCAGGGCACACACAACCATACTTTTCTTACCTTCACTATTTTGCTCTCACGGCTCACTCCGTATCTCCTGCAGGCCACACACACACACAGACAAAAAAAAAAAAAACAAAAACAAAAAACAAGGAACTCAATTACTTTTCAAAAATTACAATTCTGTCTAATGCATTCTGGTTGGATTTTAATATGGAAAGAACCAAAGAAAATTTAGACTATTTATTGAATGTAAAAAACAACCTAAATCACAACTATATTCCAACACTTTCTTTGGGCAGTCAGTCAATATGGTGTTCCAACACCACAGTACAAAGACATCAATTTTTCTTCTGTTATCTCTATTTATTGTCCAGCTCTTAAGATGGATAGCAAGTGACTGAAAAACATGGTTTGAATCAAGTGCACCTTAGTACTCAACTGCTCTTCAGTAATTTGGAGATGACCCTGACTACAGATTTTCCTGAGGTGGATCCAAGTAAGATGAAGTCACTGATAGTTCAATCTTTTCTCCATTAATCATGATGTCATCTATCAGTTCAGTGATGAGAAGTTTTGTTTTCTTGACATTGAGAAAAATGCATATTGAAGGCTGCAGGGTTTTATCTTCTGCAAGTGTTTCAAGTCTTCCTCACTTTCAACAAACGACACTGTGTCATCTGCTTAATGTAGGTTGTTGGTGAGTCTAAATCCAGACCTGAAGCTCCATTCCTTTTCACAGAGTCCAACTTCATGAATAATTTGTTCAATATAAAGTTTAATAGGTATGGAGAAAGAATACAACCCTGTTGCAAGCCTTTCTTAATTTTAAACATGCAGTGTTCCCTTGCTTTGTTCACACAATAGCTCCTAGATCTAGGTATAGGCTTCACATGAGCACAATTAAGTGTTATAGGATTCTCATTCTTCTCAATGTTAGTCATAACTTGTTATGATCCACATAGTAAAGTGTCTTTCCGTAATCAATAAAGCACAGATACACATTTTTCTGGTATTCTCTGCTATCAGCCAGGATCTGACATAAGCAATGATATACCTGGTACCATGGCCTCTTCTGAATCCAGCTTTACCTTCTGGCAGTCTCCTGTCTATGTATTGGTCTATATGTCTTTGAATGATCTTCAGCAGTATTCTGCTTGCATTAGATATTAATGATATTGTTCAGCAATTTCCATCCTACTGGATCACCTAAATTTCCTGGCATGGACTGGTGAGCACATCCAGGGCTGCATCTGTCTTTTGAAACAAGTTGACTGGTATCCCATAGATTCCTGGGGCCTTATTTTTTTTATTTATTTATTATTATTATTTTTTTTTTTTTGCGAATGCCTTCACTGCAGCTTGACTTTCTTCCTTCTGTACCACTGGCTCTTGAACATATGATATTTCCTAAAATATTTCACAGTGTTGGCCAGTTATTTTTGCTAGAGTGATTCTTGTTATTTGCTCCATATTCTTTTTATGATTTCTAGATCATTCAAGATTTTGCCAACAGCATCTCTCAACTTGAGGCTTGAATTGTTCCTTTCTCTAGGCTTGAGAAATGCTGCATAAGTTCTTACCTTTTTGTTCTCCAATCCTAGATCTCTGCATATTCCATTATAATCGTTTGCTTTGTCTTTTCAAAGTGCTCTTTGAATCTTCTGTTCAGCTCATTTACTTCAACAGCTCCTCCCTCTGTTTGGCTTCTCCAAGCTTTCGTACAATTTTCGGGGCTTCTTCTGACATCTATATTGTTTTTTCTTTCTCCTCTGTCTTTATAATAAATAACATTTTGCTCTCTTCATGGATGATATCCTTGATGTCATCCCACAACAAATCTGGTCTTCAATCTTTGGTGCTCAATGCTTCAGACCTATTCATAAAATAATTTATAAATTCAGATGGGATAGACTCAAAACAAGTCCACGAGATTAAAAATATGATCTTAAATTTCTTCAGCCTCAATTTGAACTTGCACATGAACAACTGACGGTATGACCACTACTAGAACCTGGCCTGGTTCTGACTGCTGATATTGAGCTTCACCAACAACTCCTTCCATAGATACAGTCAATCTGATTCCTATGCCATTTATCTAGTGAGATTAATGTGTAAAGTCGCTGTTAGTATTTCTAATAAAAGATATCTGCAATGAATAAATCACTGAATGTACAGAATTGGATAGTTATATTTCTAGCGTCATTTCTATGTAAAGTATAAAATAAAGCCTTAAAAACTATACAAATACGAATGTGTATGCTCTGTGAAATTATCTCTAACAGCTACTTTCATAACCTGAAATCGAGCACTATTTTAATCATACATCATCCAACCAGGATGCCAAACATTATGTATCCATTTTATGCAACTTCAAATTAAAAACCTACTTCAGTTTAATCTGTGGTTCCAATAACTCTTAAGGATTGAAAAAATAAAAACATCTAAATATAACAAAAATAAATTTAAAGGAAAATGCAGAATGCAAAATACCCAACCTTACTTACCTTTAAACAATTTAAATAATAAAAGTGTGTACAAACATTTAAAAGAACGCATATTAAGAGATTCTGTTCTGGCTTGGCTCGTGCCATTCTTGGTTTGGGCAACCAGTTCTAGGGTACTTTTCTACCATAATCCTATAGCCAAGCACTCCTCCACCTCTTTCTTTATCCAATTTCACACTCTTCTCACCCACAGCCCTCAGTGATAGGATCTTCTCTCAGGAGAACACAGGATTCCTCAGCACTCCCCTTGAGACTTCCCTTCTTTGGCCCTACCTTACAATTGTCTAGACTCATCTCCAGTACTCTTATTCCATCTACTCCCTCAACAGGTGACAGTGAAACACGGGACTGCTCTTACTATTCATTCTATACATGTACTCAACTCTAAAACCACTTTCCCTTGGAAGAACCAACTCTCCCATCCTTTGCTCCACAGGCTCAGCCTCTGTAATGACAATCACATCCAATAGCCTGGGTAAACATTTGTATATTTCTTTGTGAGAGCAATGATAACTTTGTATTTTGAATTCTCAAAGTAAGGTAAATAAAGACATTGACTATAACTGGAAAAGAAAATACAGAAATAAAGAAGTAAAAAAAAATATTATCTCATCTGAAATAGTCAATCATATAATGGGAGTTATCAAAAAGTTCCTGCTGGGCATTCTACCTCCAATTTATTCAATAATGTGCCCATCCCATAGGATTAAGTTTAGAAATCCAAAGCACAGAAGGCTAAGCTTACGTTTTGAGTATTCACATAAATTCTGTAAAAGACTTACGCAGAATCTGCCAGTTAGTTTAACAGTATCTACTGTGGCCTCCTACAGCTCAGGAGAGGAATACCCCAGATGAGATGAACTGACAGGAGTAATGGGGGTAGGTTTGTCAGAGTCAGTAAGACTAGCTCAGGCTAGGGCAGGGTTCAGAGCTGTTGTATATAGGGTTGCTTTGAACTGGAGGTGACTAAAGGACATAAAACAACAACAGTAATACCATGAGGATCACATTCTGGTGGCCCAGTGGCCACTGAATGCACTGCAATCCTGAAAGTGCAGGCTAAAATTCACCAGCTGCTCCTCAGGAGAAGGATGGGAAATCTCCTCCCTTTCAATTAACTCTCTAGGAAAACCCACCTAAGAGTCAGCTAAGGGTCAGTTCCAACTTGACAGTACCCACCACCACCACCACCACCACCACTACTTCAGGGAGCTCTAGTGGCTTAAAAGTAAGGAGTTATGCTGCCAAACCTAGGGTACACTGTTCGAATGCAAAAATTGCTTCACAAGAGAAAGATGAGCAATTTTTTCCTGTGCAATTTACTGTCCTTGAAAAACCACTGCAGGGTCAGCTATGGGTCGGTTCTGATTTAACAATGACAACATATAAAAAAAGCTGAAAAGTCAGACTCTATTTTCCATACTTCTTTGGAGCTAAGGTTCAGAACACCATACAGGTTCCATTACTGAGATGAGACTTGTATGAATTCTGAATGCAGAACTGTTAAATGATGAAATGAGGACAGAAAGGATCAATTTGGTTGGTGTGGATCACAAGAGAAATAGCCCACTTTCAGAGTCACTAGCTGTTACAAATGCTTCAATTTCGCAGAAGTGGTGTGGTACCCCTACCATTAGCTGTATTTAGCACCAGTTCCTCAAATTCTATTAGTTGGCAGCTTGCTGAAAATGGCAGAAATAGCAGTAGGTTTTGAAATCCAGTCACTCTAAGATGGAGCTGGGTTGCTGACTCTGGCTTAACCAGAGATGGATTAATCTCTTACAATTCACTGATTGCTATAATCAGTCCCTTCCTACTGAAACTAGTTTAGCCTTATTTTAAACCAAGGAACTCTAATCAATATATGTTTATACAAACTTCCTCATTCTTAGAAGTGACCACCAATCCATGGTGTTCCTTTCTAGACAGCCCATGTCTATGGTCCAGAGACTTCAAACATTTCCCAAGAGAAAAGAGTGAACAATCAAGTCAGATAAAGTTGTCAAGTTTCATTTTTTCCTAAAGAAAAAGTAGTAAGAAGACTTTATTACCACTCAACACTAGATTAGGTACCCCCTACATTTACATTCACCATCACACTCAGGTGACAGTGCATAATAATCACGCTATGAATAATCAACTACAGTTGTTTGTTGAGTTAAGTGCAGGGTATTTCTTTCATTTTTCAAAACAATTTTTAGAAGATGAAATGTAAATCATGTAACATACAATCACCATTTTAATATGTAAGCATCAATGGTTTGGTGTGTATTTACTGTATGTGCAAACACTATTGTTATGGATCATCGAGTCACCTGTGACTTATAGTGACCATATATATAATAGCCCAAAATCCTGCTCTATCCTGTGCCAATCTCATTGTGTCCAACACACCTAACTCTTATCACCCCAGTTACTGAATCAATCTATCTCATCGAGGGTATTCCTCTCCTGCGCTGTCCCTCCACCCTCCCAAGCATGATGTTCCTCTCCAAGAACTGGTCCCTCCTTGCCACATGTCCAAAGTAAGTCAGACGATGCGTCAGAAATCTTGCCTCCAAGGAACAGACTTGCTTAACCTCTCCAGGTT